ACATAACCTAATGTAACATAACATAACATAATATAACATAACATAAAATATCTTAATTCAACATAACATAACATAACATATCATAACATAGCATGACATAACATAACCTAACTTAAGAACATCACATTATGTAATGTGTTGTTAGCAATACTGGTACATAATATGGTCGCTTTTAAGCACAAAGGGGCTATCCCTAAAAAATGCTGTTTTGAGAAAATCGAAGGTAAAGTTTTTGCCCCTTGTTCAGTTTCTTCAAAAGACAAGAAGCGTTTTCTCTATCACCAAAGAAATATACACACCAATGAAACCAAACTTCTTCTATAGGTAGGGCAATGCCCACTTTTGGTGTAGGCTAAGATTTCTGGAAACCCCCAAAATCTGGGTTAACCAGCTTGTCCTTGAAAGCGACCATATAACAAAGTAAACTGTCCCACATTCCACGTTTTTCCAGAAGTGAGCAAACAGGCGTGCCAACATGGCGGTCCACGTTCCAGGCCTGATCGCCATCATCATCTTCTACCTCCTCATCCTGGTCATCGGAATCTTTGCCGCCAGGAAAACGGGGTTACTGAAGTCCAACCTCAAGGTGGATGACGTCATGCTGGCCAAGAGGTCTATCGGCATTTTCGTTGGCTGTTTTTCAATGACTGGTGAGTTTGATAAAATATTGGCAGTTCATTGTGTTTTGTTTGATTTTGCTTTGCGTTACGGGATTTTTTCTAACATTTTTTTTGAGCGATGGAGGGATTAGATTTAAGTTTGTGTGGGTTTTTTGGGGGAGTTTTTTTTTAATTTGTGGGATATTTTTTTCTTTTGCCTTAACATTTTAAAAATTCCCTATTGGGGGTTCAGTTCACGCCAGTTTCACATAAGAGATGCAGAGTAAAAAGTATAAAAAAAAGAACTGATATAGGAGGCACCATTTCTCAAATCAAATAACGTTGCGGTTACAATTGTCTGTACAATTTCCCTTGGAGTATCTATGAGTTAAGTTCCAAAACCTTCCACAATGTCGACATGGCAAATCCATGAATCAGAAAGATTGGAATGCATTCATTACGACTTTTCACACCTTTATAAATCTTTCAACCTACCCTGTGGTCTTGTAAATACGTTCTACACTTGGATTATGAGAGACCGACGTAAATAATAATTCTAAAAAATGAACAGTTACATCTAAAAGGATTTTCAGAGCCATTGTGTATCAAACAGAGCTTCATTAGTTTTCCTTTTTTCGGCTAGTAGCCTTTCGAGTCGATATATCAAGGGAATACAGTATACAACTGTTTATTAGGCTACTCTGAGTGTTCACGTAACACAGTAAATGTGTATATTAATATTTGCTTTGATTTTCCCCTCTATTCAGCCCGAAAGTTGATTTTTTTTCCTTTTTAGAAAAAGAAAATAAACTTGAGTGGTGAGAACGTACAAAAAGAAAAACTTAAAAGCTCCGGACTGCACTCAACGTATCTCTCTGCAGCCCATCTAACACACGTTAACAATAATAATAATAATAGATAGCATTTGTATAGCGCATATCCCCGCTCAACAGCAGGCTCTATGCGCTTTACACTATATTATTACCCCAGCAGACCATAGAACAC